AGTAGGTTCATCAAGAAAAGAAGGGAGCAGACACAAACAAACACAATCAGAAATGAAAGAGGAGAGATTACAACTGATACCACAGAAATAGAAGGGATTGTAAGAAATTACTATGAAGAACTGTATGCCAAAAAAATTGAAAACCTAGGGGAAATGGATACATTTCTAGAAAAATATAATCTTCCAAAACTTAATGAAAAAGAAACCAAAAATCTGAACACACCAATAACAGCAAAAGAAATTGAAGCAGTAATCAAAAAACTCCCATCACACAAAAGCCCTGAACCAGACGGTTTCACAGGAGAATTCTACAAAGCATTTAAGGAAGAGCTAACCCCTATTCTCCACAGACTATTCCAAAAAATCCAGAAGGATGGAAAACTTCCAAATTCTTTTTATGAAGCCAGCATCATCCTAATTCCAAAACCAGATAGAGACACAGCAAAGAAAGAAAACTTCAGGCCAATATCACTGATTAACATGGACGCTAAAATCTTCAACAAAATATTGGCAAATCGCATCCAACAATATATCCAAAAGATTAGACACCATGACCAAGTGGGATTCATCCCAGGGATGCAAGGATGGTTCAACATTCGCAAATCAGTAAATGTAATACGTCACACAAACAAAAGCAAAGACAAAAACCTCACGATCATATCCACAGACGCAGAAAAAGCTTTTGATAAGGTACAACACCCATTTATGATAAAAACACTCAGCAAAGTGGGAATAGAGGGAGCATTCCTCAATATAATAAAGGCCATATATGAGAGACCTACAGCCAATATCATACTCAATGGGCAAAAACTAAAAGCTTTTCCACTAAGATCAGGAACAAGACAAGGATGTCCACTTTCACCACTTCTATTCAATATAGTTTTGGAAGTTTTGGCCACAGTGATTAGGCAAGAAAAGGAAATAAAAGGCATCCAAATAGGAAAGGAGGAAACAAAACTGTCACTGTTTGCAGATGACATAATAGTATACATGGAAAGTCCTATAGACTCTACCCAAAAACTGCTCGAACTAATTAATGAATTTGGCAAAACAGCAGGATACAAAGTCAATATCCAGAAATCAAAGGCATTTTTGTATACTAACAATGAATTAGCAGAAGCAGAAATCAAGAAAAAAATCTGCCCTGGCTGGTGTAGCTCAGTGGATTGAGCGCGGGCCTGCGAACCAGACAATCGCGGTTCGATTCCCAGTCAGGGCACATGCCAGGGTTGCAGGCAGGTTCCCTGCAGGCCAGTTCCCAGCAGGGGACGCACAAAAGGCAACCATACATTGATGTTTCTCTCCCTCTCTCCTTCCCTTCCCCTCTAAAGATAAATAAATAAAATCTTTTTTTAAAAAAAGAAAAAAAATCCCATTCGATATAGCAAAAAGAAAAATAAAATATCTGGGAATAAACCTAACCAAGGAGGTAAAAGACCTGTATGCAGAAAACTACACAGCACTGAAGAAAGAAATCAGGGAAGACACTAACAAATGGAAACATATACCTTGTTCATGGATTGGAAGAATTAACATCATCAAAATGTCCATACTACCCACAGCAATATACAGATTTAATGCAATACCTATTAAAGTACCAATGGCATATTTCACAGACACAGAACAAACACTTCAAAAATTTTTATGGAACCATAAATGAGCCTGAATAGCAGCTGCTATTTTGAGAAAGAACAAAGTAGGAAGGATCACAATATCTGATATCAAACTATATTACAAGGCCACTGTAATCAAAACAGCCTGGTACTGGCATAAAAACAGGCACATAGACCAATGGAACAAAACAGAGAGCCCAGAAATCAACCCAACTCTCTACAGTCAATTAATATTTGACAAAGGGGGTAGTAACATAAAATAGCGTAAAGATAGCCTCTTCAACAAATGGTGTTGGGAGAACTAGACAGCTATGTGCAAAAAAAATGAAACTTGAGCACCGACTTACACCATACACCAAAATAAATTCAAGGGGGATAAAAGACTTAAATATAAGCCGTGACACCATTAAAGTCCTAGAAAAGAAAATCTCAGATATTTCACACAGCAACATTTTTACAGATATGTCCCCTAGAGCAAGGAATATAAAGGAAAGAATAAACAAATGGGATCTCATCAAAATAAAAAGTTTCTGCGTGGCTAAAGAAAACAGTATTAAATTTAAAAGACAACCCACTGTATGGGAAAACATATGTGCCAATGATACCTCAGACAAAGGTTTAATCTCCAAAATATACAAAGAACTTACATGACTCCACTCTAAGAAGACATCTAACCCAATTAAAAAATGGGAAAAGGACTTGAACAGACACTTCTCCAAGGAGGACATACAGAAGATCCAGAGATGCATGAAGAGATGCTCAATATTGTTAGCTATCAGAGAGATGCAAATTAAAACCACAATGAGATACCACTTTACACCAGTCAGAATGTCTATCATAAACAAAGCAACAAACAACAAATGTTGGAGAGGTTGTGGGGAAAGGGGTCCTTAGTTCACTGTTGGTGGGATTGCAGACTGGTACAACCATTATGGAAAACAGTATGGAAATTTTCTCAGAAAAATTAAAATTGACCTGCCTTTTGACCCAGCAATTCCACTGCTAGGATTATATCCTAAGAATCCTAAAACATCAATATCAAAGAACCTATGCACCACAATGTTCATAGCAGCACAATTTATAATAGCCAAGGGCTGGAAGCAACCTAGGTGCCCATCAGTAAATGAATGGATCAAAAAATTGTGGTACATATACACAATGGAATTCTATGCAGCAGAGAGAAAGAAGAAGCTCCTACCCTTTGCAATAACATGGATGGAACTGGAAATCATTATGCTGAGTGAAATAGGCCAGGTGTTGAAAGACAAATACCATATGATCTCACCTTTAACAGGAAGCTAAACAACAAAACAAACAAGCAAGCAGAATAAAAACCAAGACACTAAAATAGAGAACAAGGGGACAATGACCAGAGGGGAGAGGGAAGGGAATTTAAGGGGGAAAAAGGGGAGGGATTTGGAGGAGCAAATAGGAAGGACACAGGGACATGGACTGGGGGGGGGAGGAAATGGGAGGGAGGTGGGGAGCAAGGGGCGGGGGAGGCTGGGATGGGAAAAATAGACAAAAAACTGTACTTGAAAAATAACTAAATAAAATAAAAAAAACAGCTATTAAAAAAAGAAAAATAACTAAATAAAATTATTTTTAAAAAAGAATAAAAAAATAAATGTTTAAAATTTTATACTCAAGAAAACATGGAAACTAATACACAGTATAGATTATTTTATAACTAAGGGAATGTCTGTATCATAACTGATAAATGCATCTGGTCTATCGCAAATATTTTCTATTTTTAAAAATATAGTTATTATCAATTTCATTACATATTATATTCTTTTGATGCATTTTTGTGCCTTCTTTCAGACCTTTACAGGGATCTTGATAGACATTCTAACCAAGGCATTGAGAATTAAAAAAAAATAAAACAAATAGTGAAAGACTAAATGCTTTCCCCCTAAGATAAGAAACAAGGCACGGATGTACATTTTCACCACTCTTATTCAATATAACACTGGAATTTCTACCCACTACAATAATGTAAGAAAAATGAATAAAAGGTATATAGGTTGGAAAAGAAAAAATAAAATAGTCCCCATTTGTACGTGGCATACTACAAGAAATGTGGCTATGTAGAAAATCAATAAATTGAAAACTTATTTGAAAAAAAAATAACGAAGGAGAACTTCCCCAATTTGGCAAAGGAAATAGACTTCCAGGAAGTCCAGGAAGCCCAGAGAGTCCCAAAAAAGTTGGACCCAAGGAAACACACACCAAGGCACATCAAAATTACATTACCCAAGATGAAAGATAAGGAGAAAATCCTAAAAGCAGCAAAAGGAGACAGTTACCTACAGAGAAGTTCCCATAAGACTGTCAGCTGATTTCTCAAATAAAATTTACAGGCAAGAAGGGGCTGGAAAGTATTCCAAATCATGAAAGTCAAGAACCTACATCCAAGATGACTCTATCCAGCAAAACTATCATTTAGAATGGAAGGACAGATAAAGTGCTTCCCAGATAAGGTCAAGTTAAAGGAGTTCATCATCATCAAAACCTTATCGTATAAAATGTTAAAAAGACTTATCTAAGAAAAAGAAGATCAAAACTATGAACAGTAAAATGACAACAAAGTCACAACTCTGAACAACTGAACCTAAAAAAAAACAGAAACTAAGCAAACCACTGGAACAGGAACAGAATCACAGAAACGGAGATCACATGGAGGGTTATCAGTGTGAAGGAGCAGGGGAAGAATGGGGGTAAAAAGTACAGGGAATAAGTCTAACTGGTAGGCACAAAATAGATAGGGAGAGATTAAGAATAGTATAGGAAATGGAGAAGCCAAGGAACTTATATGTACAACCCATGGACATGAACTAAGGGAGAGGAATGCTGGAAGGTGGCAAGGTACAGGTTTAGAGGGAGGATAAAGGGGAGAAGAAATTGACAACTGTAATAGCATAGTCAATGAAATATACTTAAAAGAAGAAAATCCCAAAGAATTAGCACAAATGGCTTTTAAAACTGAGCTCAGCAAGGTCATAGGATATGAGATCAACATTCAAAATTCAAGTTCATTTCTATATACTAACAATGAACATGTATAAACAAAAATTTAAAATATAATACCATTTATAACACCTCCAAAGAAAGTGAAATACTTAGGCATAATGTTCTGTGGATTGTACAATATCAATGTCAAAACCTAGTTGTGATATTTTAGTATATTTTTGCAAAATATTATTATTGGTAAAAATTAGGTAAAGGTTACATAAGACCTGACTGTATTATTTCTTGCACCTACATGTGATTCTGAAATATCTCAAAGTGAAAAAATTTAATTTTTATAAAAATATCACTAACAATATTAAGAATATCAATGAATAGATTAAAGACTGCTACGTATATGTATTATTTCAAGCTTACCATAACTAGGAGTGACGATGAAAGATGTTGTATCAGTGGCTTGTGCACTGCCACTTTCCACTGTCGAAGTTGGGCAAGTCACTGTCTCAGACCTCGCTTCTGTGTGGGAGTCTGTTTGAACAATATTTTGTTAAGTAAAACATTTTAAGTGCTGAAAGACAAGAGACTCTCAACAGTAATTTTTATATCAGGAAAAACTATTTTTTAGGAATGAAGGAGAAATAAAGACATCTGAAGACCAAGGAAAACTTTTAAAAAATGTCACTGGCTGATGTATCCTTAAAAATGGCTTAAGGGAAATCTTCACATCAAAAAGATATGGTGAATGAAGGAATCTTGGAGCATGAGAAAAAGAAAAAAAAATGGAAAGAGCAGAGAAACTTGAGTACTCAAACCTGGCAGGTGGTAATGTAAAACAGTACAGCTACACTGGAAGACAGACAATATTTTACAAAACTCTACTTACCATTACCATAGGACCCAGCCACTGTGCTCTTGGGCATTATCCCAGAGAAATGAAAAACTGATGTTCACACAAAAACTTGTACACAAGTATTCATAGCAGCTTTACTCCTGATAGCCAAACTGGAAACAACCCAGATGTCCTTCAACCAGTGAACAGATAAACAAACTATAATACAGCCATACCATGGAATAGTACTCAGCAATACAAAAGAAAGAACCACTGATATTCACAGCAATTTAGATAAATCTCCAGGAAATTATGCTGAATGAAAAAAAAAGGCAAGCCCAAAGGCTTATATACTATGCATGTTTATTTATACAAACCTCTTGAAATGACAAAATTATAAAGAAAGAAAGCAGATTAGTGGTTGCCAAGGGCGAGGGCAGGGTAGGATACAGGTAGGAGGGGGAAGGGTGAAAGGTGAGTGGGCAATAGGTGAGATCCATGTGGTGATGGAAATATTCTGAATAGGGACTCTAATGGGGGATATGGAAAGCTACTCATGTCTTGAAAATTATATAGAACTGAATATATGTACATGCACAAACATATACACACATAAAAATACAAATAAAATTAAGAACATCTCAATAAAATCTGTGAACTCCATCAATGTCTCTATCATGGTTGTGATACTTTACTGTAGTTTTACAAAATGTTATCAGAGGGGGAAACTGGGTAAGGTGTACACAAGATATCTCTGTATTGTTTTTTTAAATTTTTATTAATTTATTTTTAGAGAGAGGAAAAGGGAGGGAGAAAGAGAGGGAGAGAAACATCAATGTGTGGTTGCCTCTCATGCACCTCCTACTGGGCACTTGGCCTGCAAGCCAGGCATGTGCCCTAACTGGGAATCAAACTGGCAACACTTTGGTTCACAGGAGGGCACTGAACCCACTGAGCCACACCAGCAGGGGCTGTGTATTGTTTATTACAATTACATGTGCAGTTCAGTTTTCCTCAAAATAAAACTATTACTTTTAAATTAATTAATTTTAATTAGTTTTCAATTAGTAAAAGCTACCACCTGCTCACATTAAGTATGTTAATAAATCTAAATTAAACAGTGCTATTTGTAATATGTATTATTCCAAACTCACCAACATTACAATGCATGACGACACGTGGACTATCTTGACCATTGTTATTTCCCAATAGTGGTGCATTACTCATCACCTGAATGTTCTCTCTCGGGTTGGTTTCTGCTTTGACCATTTCTATAAGGAGAACATTTTTCAAATGCTGTAAGGAAAGACTCTCAATCTCATATTCTACATCCAATGAAATTGTCCTTCAGTAGTGAAGCAAAAATAAAGATAGTTACAGACAAAAGGAAAAGTATTTCTCACTAACTGATTCAAGCTTAAAAATGGCTAAAGGAAAATCTTCAAACAGAAAGAATATAATAGAAAAATTCTGGAGCATCAAGAAGGAAAAGGAACAATGGAAAAAGCAGAAATACGGATGCAGAGAAAACAGATCACTCATATGATGCTAGTGGGAATGGAAAATGGTACAGCCAAAGTGGAAAGCAGTTTGTCAGTTTCTTATCAAAAACTAAGGACACAATTACCAAAGGACCAGAAATTGCAGTCTTGGGCATTCATCACAGAGAAATGAAAACTGTGTATAAGAATGAAATAAAACAAGATTAAAAACTATGAAGAGTATTTGTAGCATCTTTACCCCTAACAGCCCAAAACAGGAAACCCAGAGGTTTTAAACAGGTAAATAGATCCACACACCAAGGAACATCCGTACCATGATATACTACTAAGCAATAAAAAAAGAAGGAATGAGTGATATACACAACAACATATGTTGTCTCCAGGGAATTACACTGAGGGAAAGAAACCAGTCTCAAACGCCACAGGATCCATCTACATAGCAATGCTGAAGGGTCAAATTATATATCTGGAGAACAGCTCTGTTGTTACCAGCAGCTAGAGACACATCAGGGAATGGGAGTGAGGGGGAATGCCAATCAGAGGGAAGTAGGCATGCTTATAAAAGAGCAATATGAGTCATGGTGGTGACGAAACTGTTTGGGGGCTTGCCTGTGGTAGAGGACATATGAGAAAATAGTATAGAACTAAACACATGCATTAACACAAGTGCAACTGGGGACATCTCAATAATATCTGGATGGTATGTCATTTATTTTGGTTGTGATAATTTTCTACCATTTTATAAGTTCTTACAATTGGGGAAATTTGGGTAATGGGAACACAGAATTTCTCTGTATCATTTATTACAACTGCACATGCTGCTAAATTTTTCTGAAAATAAAAACTTTAATTAGAAAAAGCTACCACTGTCTTGGCATTAAGGATATTGATAAATATATATTAAATATGCTACCTGCCATAAGTATCATTTCATTTCTAACCCACCAAAACTGGGATGAATGCAGCAACATGGTGAGAAAAGTTTTGGCTACTGTTGTTTTCCAATAAAAGTGGACAATTTGTTGTCTTAGGGCTCTTTACCAAGTTGGTTTCACCTTCTACCAACACTTCTATAAATAAAATATTTTCAAATACACAGAGACAAATTTCAATGATGAATTCCATATCAGGTGAAACTATTCTTCAAGAACAAAGTAAAACTGGGACAACATGGATGGACCTGGAGGGGATAATGCTAAGTTAAACAAGCCAGAGAGAGAAAGACAAATACTGTATGGTATCACATATGTGGAATCTAAAAAGAAAGAGTCAAACTCAAGCAGAGAGTAGAATGGTAGCTGCCAGGGGTTGGGAAGACAGAAAAATAGGGAGACTGATAAAAAGGTGCAAACTATCAGTTATAAAATGAACTAAAGTCTGAGGGTGCATAACATGGTGACTATAGTTGATAATGCTGCATTGTATAATTGAAATTTACTTAGAGACTACAACTTAAGCATTCTCAGCACAAAACATAAAAAGGTAAATATGTGAAGTGATGGATGTGTTAATTAACCCGATGTTGGGAATCCTTTCACAATGTACATGTGTATCAAATCACCACACTGTACACTTTAAATATATTAAAATTTTTGTCAATTACCCCTCAATAAAGCTGAAAATTAATGAGCACTCAAACTGTTAAAAAAAGAATAAAAGGGAAATAAAGACATTCTCACATGAAAGAAAGCTAAAAGTATATATCATTAGGCAGTTTACACTTGAGAATGGCTAGAGGAATATGTCCTATTCAGAAAAGAATGATAAAAGAACAAATCTTGGAGCATCAGAGAAGAAAGAACAATGACAGCAGAAGAGATATGCATGTAGAGAAATGGGCTAACTCATGTATCACTGGCAAAAAGTAAAAGGGTAAGCCTCTCTGGAAAACCATGGGTAATTTTACATAACACTGCACATGCTATTACCATACAACCAAGCATCTGCACTCTTGGGCATTTATCTAAGAGAAATCAAAACTTATGTGTACACAAAAAACTGTTTATGAATGGTTATAGCAATTTTACTTGTAGAACTGAAAACTGGAAATAATCCAGATGTCCTTCAACAGCAATCCAAAACACAAACCATGGAATGGTCTTCAACAATAAAAAAAAGGAACTACTGATGCACCCAAGAAGTCAGATGAATATCCAGGGAGTAATGGTGAGGTAGGTGTAGTAATGAAAGTGCAAAGTGAGGCATCTGTATGGGGATGGAAATGTTTTCTATCTTGATTGTGGTGGTGAACATCACATTTATCCATTTGACAAAATCAAATAAACTTAAACACATACACACTAATCAATACAATTAAACTGGAGAAATCTCAATAAAATCTGTGGATTGTAGCAATGTCAATATCATGATTATGATATCCCATTATAGTTTTGTAAGATGTTATTGCTTGGAAGAATGAGTAAATCATAAATGGGTTCTCTCTATTGTTTCTTACAATAGCATGTGCATCTTAAATTACAAAAAAAAATGAAAGTTGAATTTTAAAACAGCTACCACTGACTCACATTAATGTGACATCCTTAAGGATGTCAATGGATCTAAATAAAACAGTCCTACTTGAAATATGTATCATTTCAAACTCACCAACATTAGGCTGGAGAGTGTAAGTTGAAAACTGAGTGCCTAGGTCACTGTTATTTCCCAATAAAAGTGGCTAAATTTTCCAATCTGGTTCATTTTTTGGAACTTCGGTAAGCATGTACCATTCACCTTCTGAAAGAAAATAACTCTCAGCTGTGAATTCTGTATGAGGCATAACTTCTTCTAGGAAATGGGTAAAATAAAGACAATCTGAAACAAAGCAAAACTGAAAGACTGTCCCCAGGTGACTTACCCATACAGAAAAGCTAAAGGAAAACCTTCAAACAGAAAGGATTTGATGAAAGAACAAAATCTAGAGCATCAGAAAGGAAGAAAGAACAATGGGAAGAACAGAAATATGGATATGGAGACACTGGATCACTCATACATTGCCTGTGAAAATGAAACATAGTACAGCCTCTCTGGAAAACTGTTTAGCAGTTTCTTACAAAATTAACCTGCTATTACCATAACACTCAATGACTGCACTTTTGACACTCATGACAGAGAAATTAAAACTTATATTCATAAAAAAACAGTATGTGAATGTTCACAGCAGCTTTACTTCTAACACCAAAATGTGGATGGGAAAAAAAGTAATGTCCTTCAAGGGGTGAATGACTGAAAACAGTATTGCAGCAAAGACATGAAAAACTCTTCAGCATTGAAAATGAAGTACTGATACAAGCAACAATCTGGATGGATCTTCATGGGATGGTGCTGAGTGAAAAAAAACTCAATCCTCAAAGGTTACATATCATAAGATTCCCTTTATATAATATTCTTGAAGAAATCACTGTTTGCCAGGGTTTAGGGAATGTTCAGTGGGGAAGGAGAGGGTAACCTGAAAGAGGTGGATGTGGCAAAATGGCACATTTGTATGGTGATGGAAATGTTCTGTACTTTGACTGTAGTTGTGGATAGCAAAGCTACTCATTTGGTAAAATTAAAAATAAATAATATAAACATACACAAGTTACTATAAGTAAAACTGGGGGTATCTCAAGAACATCTGTGCATGGTACAATATCAATGTCAATACCCTGGTTGTAATATTTTACTATAGTTTTGGAAAATGTTATCATTCGGAAAAAAGGGTAAAGTATAAAAGAATCTCTTTATATTATTTCTTCTAATACACATAAATTTAAACTTATTTTGAAATAAAAGTTTAATTAATAAAATATTTTATTATTTATGCTATTACAGTTGTCCCAATTTTACCCCCCTTGCCCCCCCTCCACATAGCACCTCCTCCCTCAGTCAATACCCACACCATAGTCCACATCCATGGGTCGTGTGTATATGTTCTTTGACTAACCCCTTCACCTTTTTTCAACCCCAGCAGTCCCTCCCATCTTACAGCTGTCAGTTTGTTCCATGTTGCTATACATGTGATTTTTCAAAATAAAAGTTCAATTAAAAAAATGAGCTCTCATTAGCTTGCACTAAGGATGTGGATGCATCTAGATTAAATATGCTACTTGTAATATTTATCACTAGAAACTCATCAGGTGGGAGGCAGAGAGATACAGAGGAAGAACATTGGCCACTTCCATTTATCAATGAAGTTGGGCAATTCATTGCCTCACGGTTGTTTTCCTGGCTGTTTTCTGCTATTTCTTGCATACCTACAGGAAGAACATTTTTCAAGCACTTAAGAAAACAACTCTCATCTATTAATTGTTTAAATAGTGAAACTATCCTTCATTAATGTATTGGAAATAAAGACATTTTCACAGGAAGGAAAACTAAAAGAACTTGTCCCTTGTAGGTGGCTTACTTTTAAAAAACGGTTAAAGGAAAGTGCTCAGATAGAAAGGTTACGATGAAAGAATGGATCTTTGAGCATGAAGAAGAAAGAAAGAATAATAGAAAGAGAAGAAATATGCATGCAGAGAAATTATATCACATATATTACAAGTTGAAAATAAAATAGTACAGCACCTCTGAAAAAAATAATTGGCAATTTCTAATAAAACTAAACATACAATTACCATATGACCCAGAACTGTCCTTTTAGGTATTTATCTCAAAGAAATATAAACTTAATGTTTATGCAAAAGCCAGTACATGACTAGTCATAGAATTTAACTTGTAATAACTAAAAAATTAGAAATATTTCAGATGTCCTTCAAGGGGTGAACATATACAACAGTTGTATATCCATACCATGGAATATTACTCAACAATAAAAGGAAGAAACTATTGATTGATACATGCCACAATTGGTATGACTCTCCAAGAAATTATGTTTAGTAAAAAAAAAAAGCCATGCCCAAAAGATTATGTATTTAATTTTATTTCATTTAGATAACAATATTCAAGTGACAAAATTATAGAAAGGGAGTTCAGTCCACCACTTCCCAGGGGTTTGGATGAGGCAGGGTAGAAGGGAAGGGTGACCAGAGGCAGGTGGTTGTGATTATAAAAAGATAATATGAAGGGTCCTTGGGGTGATGATGGAAGAGTTCTGTATCACAACTGTGACGGTGGACAGATACACCAACTCATGGACTAAAACTGCATAGAACTAAGTACACACATACACACACAAATGTATATTTAATCCATGTCAGCATTCTGGTTGTGGTATTTTACTATAGTTTTGCAAGATGTTATCATTGGGGAAAATGGATAAAGCATAAATGGGATCTCTGTATAATTTCTTACAACTACACATGAATTTAATATTATTTCAAAATAAATTAAAAAAGAGCTACCACTGACTTGTATTAAGGATGTTGCTAAATCTAGATTAAACAGTGCCACTTATAATATGTATCATTTCACACTTATCGAAATTGGGACGGATTAAGAGGCAGTATCTTGGCCACTTTCATTTTCTAATAAAGTTGTGTAATACATGGACTCAGTGCTGCTTTCAAGGCTGGTTTCTGCCTTTCCTGGCATTTATATAAATAAAAAGTTTTCACAAGCTATATAGTACAAGACTTCTCATCCACAAATTTTATACTGGGTGAAACTATCCTTTAATAAAGAAGAAGAAATAAAGACATTCTCACAAAAAGGAAACTGAAAGATTCTGCCCCAAGAAGATTTAATCTTAAAGAAAGGTTAAAGAAAAGCTTCTATCAGTAAGAATATGATGAAAGAAGCAATCATGAAGCATCAGAAGAAAGAACCATGGAAAGAGCAGAAATATGGATACAGAGAGACTGGATCACTCATACATAGCCGACAGAAAAGTAAAATGGTAAACCACACTGGAAAAGAGGTAGTTTCTCATAAAACTAAACACAATTAACATATAACCAGATATTGCACTCTTGGGTATTTGTATCAGAGACCCAAAAACTTTTGTTTACACAAAAACCTGTACATTATTTATAGCAGCTTTACATGTAATAGTCAAAAAATGAGAAAAAAACTAACCAAAATTTTCTTCAATGAATGAACAGTTAATCAATGGCAGACATATACATACCATGGAATACCACTCAGTAATAAAAAGGAAATAACTAGTAATACGCACGACAACTTGGTTTAATCTCCAAGGACTTAAGTTTAGCGAAAAAATGCCAGTATGAAATGGTTACATACTGTATGCATCCAACTATACAGGGCTGGGCAAAAGTAGATTTGTAGTTATTCATATGGAAAATAATAAATAATAATACAATAATAAACTGTGTGTTTAGTATACTTACAACTATAAACCTACTTTTGCCCACTCCTGTATAACAATTTTGAAGGGACCAAGCTCTAGAGATGGAGAATAGATCAGTGGTTGCCCAGAGCTAAGACTGGAAAATGAGAACGGCAGGGCCACCAAAGGGTGATGAGCATGGTTATAAAAGGGTAATACATATGATCTTTGTGGTGGTGGAATGTTCCATGCCTTCACTATGGTGGTGGACATACAAAATTCCCCACATGATAAAATTGCGTAGAACTAAATGCAGAGACACACAAAAGACTGTAAGTCAAACTGAATAAGATGGATGCATTATATCAATATCAATATCCTGACTGTGATATTTTAATGTAGTTTTGCAAGATGTTACCATTGGAGGAAACTGGGTAAACGGTATTACTCTGCAATGCGTCTTGTAACTACTTGTGAATCTACAATTATTTCAATATAAAACTTATAATTGAAAAAAACAGCTATCGCTAGCCTACATCAAGGGTGCTTTGTAATCTAGATTGAAGGATGCTATTTGTAATATGTGCCATTTCAAACTTACCCAAATTGGGATGGATATGGACAGATGATGAGGCAGTGTCTGGGTCCATGCTGTGAGTTTCCATCATCTCAGGGGTGTTGGCCAGACTTCTTTCTTCTGCTGTAGGTATTGCCTGGGAACAAAAATAACACTGTTGGTACTTTTAGCACATTTGCTACAAAAGCAGGCTAAGATAGCAAGACCAGGAAATGGGCTGCCTGACATGTAATGCAGCTGCATGGAATGTGTGGAGACAATTCTGAGAAATGGTGGACTTTCCCTGAGGACCGGCTGCTACAGTTAAAGGAGTGCTGCTGACTAGAGGGATGATCCTACAGGGCTTAGCTCTGGCACTGTTTTCCTGCCTTTCCACTGTTAAAGATGGGCTATAATCTCCCTGTCCAGGGTAAGAGAACAGAATGGGTTAAACTCTTTTCTTTGGTTCCTGGACTTTACTTTCTCCATGAGGTACACAATCAAGTTTTTTTGGTGTAAATGCAGATGGGAATAAAAATGAGAATAAGCCCTGGCTGGTGTAGCTCAGTGGATTGAGTGCAAGCCTACGAACCAAAGGATCACAGTTCCATTCCCAGTCAGGGTAAATGCCTGGGTTGCAGGCCAGTTCACAGCAAGGGATGCACGAGAGGCAAACATACATTGATATTTCTCTCCCTCTCTCCTTCCCTTCCCCTCTAAAGATAAATAAATAAAATGTTTTAAAAGATGAGAATAAAAAACTTGCTAAAAGCACTAATGCCTGTTTTCTTTGAATGCTGAATTTTTATAACATAATTTTTATTCTTATTTAACCCTACATTTTAATTGTTTTATACGTTGAGGTTACAAACATAAAATATTCAGTATAATAATTTCTCAAAACTAAACTTCACCATTCTTTCAACAGAGGTTTAGTCTCCCATCTGCTGCTAAAGTAGGTATACATCAGACTTGCTAATCTCAGTTATTCTCTTTCACTTGTAACTGATGGGATCATCAGGAAGCAGAGGTTTATCAAAGTAGCAAAATGTGTTTATAACACTCACCTGGTCTTGCAAGGATTCTTCCTCCTCAATACTTTGCATTTTTGAAATGACTCGACAAAGCTGAGCAACATGCTTATTGGTGTTTTGAATAAGGCTTTGCAAACCCTATTATAATAAAAAATATTTTAGTAGTTCCTATTTCAAAATAAAAGTAACATATAAGAAAATACCATTAAGCCAATTTTCACTGCTAGGAACAAAGAAAGTTCTCATGCCATCAGAAATGTCTTGCTTGCCAACTTGATGCCTGGTTATTGGTAAGAGAGAGCTGGATGACCACAAGGGTCCCCAACCTCCAATGCAACCACTTCATGTCATACAGGCATTTTGAGAGGCTTTAATTCTGGAAAGTAAATGTACCACAATTCCTATAACCTATCACATTCCTGATGGGAGTGATTTTACATCAAGAAGGTACTACTTTCAGAAATAAATGTTCAAATCTGCTGAAAATCCAAAGAACCTCTTTCCATATGATGACAACATGGACTAATAGGCATTCCACTCTGGGAAGAACAGTGAGCCAGATATATCGGATGTTAACTTCTAGCTTCAAAACATTTAAAATTTGTAAAATCAACAATTAATGCCATAAAATCTTTGAGTACACACCCCCTATATGGCAATCAGGTATGTGACTAAATTCTTGAAATACAGAGAATTTTCATTCAGGCAAAAAAAGACATTTAAATCATAGGCCAGAACCATTTCCTCATTCTCTCATTCCAATAAACATTTACTGAGGGCATACCACCTGTCAGAACTACTTTGCTAGATGCTGGAAACATGGGTGGTAAGGGGAAAAACCCCCTACCAGCTCCTGTCCTAAAGAACTCCTATTCTAGCTGGAGAGAGACAAGGGATGCACCAGAAGCAACCATACATTGATATTTCTCTCCCTCTCTCCTTCCCTTCCCCTCTAAAGATAAATAAATAAAATGTTTTAAAAGATGAGAATAAAAAACTTGCTAAAAGCACTAATGTCTGTTTTCTTTGAATGCTGAATTTTTATAACATAATTTTTATTCTTATTTAACCCTACATTTTAATTGTTTTATACGTTGAGGTTACAAACATAAAATATTCAGTATAATAATTTCTCAAAACTAAACTTCACCATTCTTTCAACAGAGGTTTAGTCTCCCATCTGCTGCTAAAGTAGGTATACATCAGACTTGCTAATCTCACAGTTATTAGTTCTCTTTCACTTGTAACTGATGGGATCATCAGGAAGTAGAGGTTTATCAAAGTAGCAAAATGTGTTTATAACACTCACCTGGTCTTGCAAGGATTCTTCCTCCTCAATACTTTGCAGTTTTGAAATGATTCGACAAAGCTGAGCAACATGCTTATTGGTGTTTTGAATAAGGCTTTGCAAACTCTATTATAATAAAAAATATTTTAGTAGTTCCTATTTCAAAATAAAAGTAACATATAAGAAAATACCATTAAGCCAATTTTCACTGCTAGGAACAAAGAAAGTTCTCATGCCATCAGAAATGTCTTGCTTGCCAACTTGATGCCTGGTTATTGGTAAGAGAGAGCTGGATGACCACAAGGGTCCCCAACCTCCGATGCAACCACTTCATGTCATACAGGCATTTTGAGAGGCCTTAATTCTGGAAAGTAAATGTACCACAATTCCTATAACTTATCACATTCCTGATGGGAGTGATTTTACATCAAGAAGGTACTACTTTCAGAAATAAATGTTCAAATCTGCTGAAAATCCAAAGAACCTCTTTCCATATGATGACAACATGGACTAATAGGCATTCCACTCTGGGAAGAACAGTGAGCCAGATATATCGGATGTTAACTTCTAGCTTCAAAACATTTAAAATTTGTAAAATCAACAATTAATGCCATAAAATCTTTGAGTACACACCCCCTATATGGCAATCAGGTATATGACTAAATTCTTGAAATACAGAGAATTTTCATTCAGGCAAAAAAGACATTTAAATCATAGGCCAGAACCATTTCCTCATTCTCTCATTCCAATAAACATTTACTGAGGGCATACCACCTGTCAGAACTACTTTGCTAGATGCTGGAAACATGGGTGGTAAGGGGAAAAACCCCCTACCAGCTCCTGTCCTAAGGAACTCCTATTCTAGCTGGAGAGAGACAAGGGGATGCACCAGAAGCAACCATACATTGATATTTCTCTCCCTCTCTCCTTCCCTTCCCCTCTAAAGATAAATAAATAAAATGTTTTAAAAGATGAGAATAAAAAACTTGCTAAAAGCACTAATGTCTGTTTTCTTTGAATGCTGAATTTTTATAACATAATTTTTATTCTTATTTAACCCTACATTTTAATTGTTTTATACGTATACGTTTATACGTTTAGTCTCCCATCTGCTGCTAAAGTAGGTATACATCAGACTTGCTAATCTCAGTTATTAGTTCTCTTTCACTTGTAACTGATGGGATCATCAGTTACAAGTGAAGAGATGATTTCATCAGTGAAGGGCAATCATCAGTGAAGAGATGATTTCAATAGAGAAAGTAATTAGCAGCCTGGAGCAGTCAAAGTATGGACTTGTGGACCAGTAGCATCAATACTAGTAGCATTTACTGGAAACGCACAATCTCCTACCCCAGACTTAATGAATTGGGAACTCAAGAGTCGGAATAGCACCTGTGTTTTCACAAGCCCTCCAGGTGATTCTGCTACCTCATCAAGTGTGAGGCCCAGTGATGGGCCTACAGCACTGAGGTAAATAGTGCAGATTCTAGGGGAACGGGCTTGGATCTCAGTATTAGAGTTCTGCCACTTATTAGCTCTGTGACCTTGGTCAAGTTACTTAACTTCTCTGTGCTTCAACTTCCTCACGTATAGAATCAGGATGAAAATCCCTCTGAGTTCTCTTGAGGACAAAGCAAGGTGCTATGGTATTATGTTTATAGTACACGATGACTGGTCCAGTCGTGCTCAATCATCTATTAATATGAACATTACTATTACGACTATCATGGCACAGGTCAGAACAGGGGGCTAAGTGTATGCAAAGACCTAATGCAGGTTGGCAGGTCTTTTCAGAGAAGCAGATGTCTATGCTGAGAATGAAAAGACAAGAAGGTGTTTACTAGGTAAAAATGCATAGAAGGACATACAGGGCAGAAAGAACAGTGTCTTCAAAAATACTCATAAAATAGGAAGTCAGGTGTTTCAACAGTGAACATAACAATGACATTCAAAGAGCCAGGTTATTAAGGGAAGGAGAAAGGAAGGATGAGAGGCTAAAAGAAGTGATTTTTTAAAGATTTCATTTATTTATTTATTTATTTATTTATTTATAGAGGGGAGGAAAAGGAGAAAGAGGGATTGAAACATCAACACGTGGTTGCCTCTCATGCGCCCCATACTGGGAACCTGGCCCACAACCCAGGCACGTGCCCTGACTGGGAATTGAACCAGTGACCTGTACTCAATCCACTGAGCTACACTAGCCAGGGCAGAAGTGATTTTTTAAAAACCATGAGAGAACATGTAGAGAGTGATAGACACAGAGGATGAAGATCCAGGAGAGAGAGGGATGACCCATGAAGGGAGGAGTCTGAGCACAGGGAAAGAGGGTCAGATGCAGAAGCCAGCGGAGGTGTTGGCCTTACAGAGGAAAACACCAGAAGAAGAATGTACACCAGGTAAGTCTGTTGGGTGTGGGAAGAAGACTTCTGCTCCCCACCTCATTTTCTCCATTAAATAAGAGGCAAGGATGGGTGTGTCTGGAGCACATGGGGAGAGGGTGCTGACTACAGACCAAACAGTGGACAGGTCCCAGCAGAAGTCGTCCCCTCTGCTTCCCAGCATAGACAAGGCTGGGGTTTTACTAAAGAGGATGTGGGCAAGGATAAAAAGGAAAAGATGGCCCTGGCTGGTGTAGCTCAGTGGATTGAGCACAGGCCTGCGAACCAGAGAATCGCGGTTCAATTCCCAGTCAGGGCACATGCCTGGGTTGCGGGCCATTTCCCTGCAGGCCATTTCCCAGCAAGGGACACATGAAGGGCAACCATACATTGATGTTTATCTCCCTCTCTCCTTCCCCTATAAAAGATAAATAAATAAAATCTTTAAAAAGAAAAGAAAAGATGGAAATGCTGCACCACGCCGTCTAGGGCAGTAAGGGAAGAAGTTGAAGAGAGGAGAGAGCTAACACACTAGGAGAAATAGACTGGATCCCTCATGAGGCCTGAGCATGTCTTACCTCTTACCTGAGATGCTACATCCCACCCCACCCTGCACAATTGCTCAGAAGGCCCTGGCAGAGCAGTGTGTATCTAGGTGGTCTTGGATGCTTAGGCAAGGCAGGCTGGGGATAGCCCTGCTCAGAATGAGAACCCTCTCCCTCCTGCTATAGCCCACCCTCTGCACATCTTCCCCTGAAGACTTGATGTGTCCCCTTTAAGCATTGCACTTCTGTTCTTAGTAATAATAATGATCAAGGATCATATAAACATTATTTATTTTTCAAAGTATGCTAGCTTATTTTATTCAAGATACTTGATACCTTGAGAAACGTTGATTTTTTAATAAATGTTCATTATCTCTAGGGTATGCGGCCCATAAAATCCTTGATAATTATATATTTCTATCTACTTCAACCAATATGCTAAGTTTTATAAGATCCCCTCAAAACTGTGTAAGATATACTATTTAAAAAACTGGTTGACTGCCATTTTGTTTCCACTGAGATATCTTGATATGTATTTAGGCACATACTCAATTTCATCCAAATCAGTCAATTTCCTTAAAAAGACCATGTTGGAGAAATTAAATATTGAACAATCTAGATGAAAGAGACTTAACATTTGACCAGTTATGAATTGGCTTATTTTTTAGCTATAAAAGCTATATTTTTATATCATATTTTTATTTTATCACTTAGGAATACTAGTCTAACTAGAAATGTTTTTAATATATCACAATGGAGTGATAATCATATAGAACTTGACATAGACAAATTTCTATTAACAACACAGTGGCATTAAATGATGTAAATTAAAGGATTAAAAGTGGCATTCAGCTCAATATCTTCAAAAACTACATTTAAGATACAAAACTTTGATACCTCACAATAGCCTTTCAGTTCCAAAAGCTGGTTTCGATGTTTTTCTTTATCAAAAATCCCAGATGTATTTCTCACCTATTAAAATTATAAAAATAAATATTCAATATTTAATAGCACTAGGAGCCAAATTAAGCACTAGAAAAATAACACTTCATCTATTTATCTATTTTAATTATTTTTCTTTTTTACTTAAACTCCAAAAGAATTTCAGAAGTCTTATAAAGCAGAGATAAAGTAAAGCCAAAACCCACATTCATATGAGAACGAAAAAGATTAAGAGCTGACTAACAAGGAGGTAAAGAAAGAAGCTTATATATAAGAACCTAGGTTTAAGAAAAGCTACCGAATATCAGTATGAAAATATAGTTCATAACATACATAAAGACTGCTATAGAAAGACTTATGTGTATACATGGATTAGAACACATACATTTATTTCTTAACTCTGTCCATTGAGAGGGCCTATGATAAATGACACAAGTAGCAATGAAGACATCTAAGTGTCTAGATGTTGATTTCTAAGTACCATTCTCAAATAAAAGGAACCAGGGCTCCATGGAAGGAGGTGAATTCCAGGGCTAGAACAGGGAATATAAAAATGAGCCTCACCATCTGGTGATGTCAGAAAATAGGGAAATGGGTAGGGTTTGTAGGAACAAGTATAAAGGACACATGGACAAAAACTAGGGGGGGGCGGAAATGGGAGGGAGTGGGAAGGGCTGGGTGGGTGGGCTGGGATGGGTGTAAAAGATAGAAAACTGTACTTGAACAACAATTAAAATAAAAATTAAAAAAGAAAATAAGGAAGTGATAAAAAAAAAAGTAGGGGCATGTCAAAAGGCCACAGAAGCCAACTGGAAGGAACTCCCAATAGCCAAAGCTAGAAAATTTGATCAATAAAATAATGATAATATTGGACAATTACTCATAAAATACAATAAATGCCATGAGTCCCTAGTGATAGGAAGGAAGGTGGGAAGGAAGGAAGGAAGGAAGGAAGGAAGGAAGGAAGGAAGGAAGGAAGGAAGGAAGGAAGGAAGGAGGGAAGGAGGGAAGGAGGGAGGGAGGGAGGGAGGGAGGGAAGGAAGGAAGGAAGGAAGGAAGGAAGGAAGGAAGGAAGGAAGGAAGGAAGGAAGGAAGGAAGGAAGGGAGGGCAACTATTTCTTACAAATGAATTCTAATTAATAAATACAAAGAAATGAGGGAAATAGAGAGTCATCATTAAGCAAGCACCACAGCAGTGAACACTGCAGGTAAAATCCATAAGCTAACTCAACTCAACAGGCAAAAAGTTGAAGAGCAATGGGATATTAGCATAGTCTCAAGTACTCTCACAACCAAGATATTTGTTAATTAAAAAGGCAGAAATAGCGTCCCTGGCAGGGTAGCTCAGTTAGTTAGAGCATCATCCCAAGATGCCAAGGTTGCAGGTTGGATCCCTGGTCAGGGCACATACAAGAATCAACCAATGGATGCATAAATGTGTGGAACAATAAATCAATGGCTGTCTGTCTGTCTATCTCTCTCCCTAAAATCAAGAAATTTCTGGGATGGGAGAAATAGACAAAAAAACTGTACTTGAAAAATAACTAAATAAAATTTAAAAAAACCAAAGCAAATAAATTCACATAAGAAAATGAAAAAAAATCAAGAAATTTTTTTTTAAAGGGGGAAGTGGGAACAGTAACTTTATAGTCAATAGAATCCAGAAGATACCAATTAACCAAGTGATTGATGTTAACATCACTAGTAAATAGTTAAATTGACATCATGTATTCCTGATATGATTTAATGAGGAGATAATATCATTTGTGTGGTATTCTTGCCAAAAATGCATAATCTCAAAGAGAAAATTTGACATACCAAAACTGAGAGACACTTTACCAAATAACTGACCAGTATACTCATCAAAAATGTCAAGGTCATGAAAGACAGGAAAGAATGAGGAACTGTAACTGACTGGAAGAAACTAGGAGACACAACTAAATTCAGTATGGAATACTAGCATGGATGCTAAACAGAAAAAGGGCATGCAGAGGGGCAATGATAAAATTCAAACAAGGATTGCAGGGTAGCTAATAGTACTGTGCCATTGTTAATATTCTGGTTTTGAAAACTATACTGTGGTTATACAATCACTATAATTTTATGTTATAAAGGTAAGTTAACATTAAAGGAAACTGTGAAGTGCATACACAAGAACTCTACTATTTTTGCAAGTCTTCCATAAATCTAAAATTATTTCAAAAATTAGAAAAGATATTGAGATGATAGAAAAACTGCTTTGAATTTCCTATTAGACTAGAAAATAAAATGCTTAAGTGCTCATCGTCTTTGTTAGGTGCTCATTGTTAAGGAAGCATATAAAGTCATGAGAGAGAAATATTTCTTGAGCTCTCAACTTCACAATAAATCCATCGTGTACAAAGGCTGAGAAAGAATTTAAATCATTTTGTTTATGATAGTAAGAATATATTTGGCAATTAGCAATTAATATTAAGTAATTATTCAGTCTGATATATATTCATTAATGACACTTCCACCTTCTTCACAATCGAGTATTCATATTCTTGTCTAGTGAAGATTCATTAATAAACCAAAAGGAAATATGAAAGAAAATTTCAGGGCTTGAATTTCACTTTCAAGAGGTACCAAAGGCCTAAAGGACCTTTGTCCATTGTAAATAAATATTTATGACTACAAGAAAAGATATACTTGCAAAACTGTTTCTTCATTAACCCAACTATACTTAAAGCATCATCTTCCATCAAGCTTAAACCCTTACAAATTTCACAGTAGGCAGAACAGTCTTCTGGTAATCTGGCACTAAAACTGCTTTAAAAGCAAATATTTCTAACTAAGAACAAAGAACCAAATACATGGCTTTTGATTTTCAAATAATCCAACAGTGACACTTTGTGGACAAAACAGGAAATACTTAAGCACCCATTTTTCTTTTTTCTAAATTTATTTAATTTTTTTAAATTTTTATTTAGTTATTTTTCAAGTACAGTTTTTTTGTCTATTTCTCCCATCCCAGCCCCCCCCGCCCCATGCTCCCCACCTCCCTCCCATTTCCACCCCCCTTAGTTCTCGTCCCTGTGTCCTTCATATTTGTTCCTCCAAATCCCTCCCCTTTTTCCCCCTTAAATTCCCATTTTTTTAAATAAACGAATCTCTAAAACACCTCAAATCTTGTTTGGGAATAAAACAAGGCATAAATAAGTAAATAGACAGTAATAACCTTTACATTTAACCATAATAACTCTTCATTCTAAGGATGAATTACAAATTATGTAAATAATTTTAATAGAAAAATATCAAGTAGGATGGGAGTAAAAGACAGAATACTGTAATTGAAAAATAATTAAATTAAAAAAGGGAAGAAAAAGAAAAATATCAAGTAGCTATCAATACCTTTGTTTAAATGTTATCTGAATTAGGCCTGTATTATAAAGTTATTATTACCAAAATTATATGGAATCATGATAAAGATTAGTAATTAGTAAAATAATATTGCTATCTTACCCTTGTATAGTGCTTTATTCTTTTTAAAGTGATTTCACATAATTATATCAGAAACCATGACTCCTGGTAGGCAATTAACATGATTCCCAAAGACAAAGATATTGGCGCTGACTGAAGTTAAGAAAATTGCCTATACTACTTAAGTGGTATTACTTTCCTCAATCTTTTCTTTTTAATTACTTTACTGTTGTTCAATTATAGTTGTCTGCATTTTCCCTCCTCAATCAATCTTATATAAGTAAATAAATTCATTTTCTGTTAAGCCAAATTATATATAATTGAAAAATTTGTTTTATTCAACTTCAGATATGAAGAAGTACAGCAAGACATGATGGAAATGTAAAACTGTACAACCACTTCAGAAAACTGGCAATTTCTTATAAACTTTCATCTCTTCCATGCCCCAGTATTTCCACTACTAACTAGTCACTCAAATTTAATGTAAACATATGTTCACAAAGAGACTTCCATAATAATTTCATAGTCACTTTACTCATAATAGCCCGAAACTGAAAATAATTCAAAATTTTCATTAAAAGGAGACTGGATAAACAAATTGTGGATATACCTACAACAGAGTATTACTTGGAAATAAATGGACATGAAATACTGCTACAACCAGATGAATCTCCAAAACATTATTCTAAGGAAAAGAGAGTGTAACACAAAACAGTGCATACTATATGATTCTATTTATATATAAAGTTCTAGAACAGGTAAAACTAATCTATGATAAAAAAAAACATCAGAATGGTATTTCTCCAAAGTTCAGGAGAATAGGTACTTACTGGGAAGAGGCATAAGGAACTTTCTGGGATGATGAAAATGTTCTTTATATAAATGAGGGTGGGTAAACATTTGTCAAAACTCACTGAACTGTACACTTAAGGTCTGTATATTTCACTGTATGAAATTAAAATTAATTTTTAAAGAAATAAAGCAAGAAGGGAGAGGAGAGGGAATAATGGGGGAAAGGGTAAAGGGTTTACAGGAACAATTATAAAGGACACATGGATAATAACAAGGGGGGTGGAAACAGGGGAGGGAGGCAGGGAGGGCTAGGGTGTTTGGGAGGGGTGGGGGGAAAGGCAGAAAATTGTACTTGAACAACAAAAAATAAAAATAAATTAAAAAACAAATAAAGCAGAGTGAAAAAAAAGATTTTTACTGTAATACACAAACCATATCATCCATCACTGAAACAGATGATCGTCTTCTTTTGTTCGATGGGACAAACTCCACACCCACTGAGTCGGGGTTATTTCTTCTTAAATTTGCTGGATGGTCCATTTGTGAAACCGGTTGGTCACCTAGCTCTGGTAAACCTCCAACTCCTGCAAAGCAATACATAAAAAAGTTACTTCAAATACTTACTACCTTAATAAATTTAATATAGATATGTTTTCACAATGTCAACTCAAGTCGAATTGAATTCTTAGCTGAATTCTAAAGAAAATGTTATGTTCTTACAATTTAAAAAACTAATTATCCAAACTGAATGAAGGAAAAATAGAAAATTTCAACAGACCTGTAACAAATTATTGAATCAGTAATCAAAACTTCCAGCCAAAAAAACAAACAACTAAAACCCTAGACCAGAACTAGACCAAAAGACTTCATTAGTAGATGCTACCAAACATTAAAAGAATTAATAACAACTCTTCTCCAACTCTTCCAAAAAACTAAAGAAGAGAAAACATTTCTTAATTCATTCTATGAAGTCAGAATTAGCCTGATACTAAAGCCAGAAAAGATATTACATGAAAATTTCAGACCTATATCCCTTACAAATATAGATTGAAAAACCTCAATAAAATATTAGCCAATCTAATCTACTGGCACAATGATTATCATCCTTTTTCATCTCATAAACTAATTACTAGAATTCTTCAGTACACCCAAAATATATTTTGTGCGAATCTGACAAAAATAGGTATAATTTTGATTCTTTCACACCAGACAGCTGTTATGATGTTGGCTGCTGTCATTTTTTTTTTAATTCACAATTGCAAGGAAAAAGGTCAGTGCCCCTAACTAAATAGTCAGGAATTGCATATTATAAAAATCCTTGTGGTACACCAGTTGAAAATCATTGCAAAAGCATATTAAAAGGATTATTCACCATGGCCTAGAAGGATTTATCTCAAGAATGCAAGGGTGGTTGAACATAAGTAAACCCATCAATGTAACACGTCACATTAATAGAACAAAGGGGAAAACACTACATGAAGATCTCAACTGATGTAGAAAAGTCATCTGACAAAACCCAACACCATTTCCTCATAAAAATTCTTAGAAAACTAGGAACAGAGGGAAAATTCCACAACCAGATAAAAGGTGTTTATGAAAACCCATAGTTAACATCATACTCAGTGGTGGATGACTAAAAGCTTTCCCCCATTGATTGCGAGTTAGACAAAAATGCTCACTTTCACCACTGTTATCAACATTATACTGAAAATTATAGCCAGAGCTACCAGGCTATTTGATGCTACTAAACTGTATACTTACAAATGCTTAAAATAAAAATATGATGTCTGCATATTTACCACAATAAAAAATATAACTGAACACCTTTACTGAAATCTACCACTGTGAATTTTTCTGTCAGATAAATAAAAGGGATCAGACTATAAATAGTACTCTGCAACCTCCTTTTATCACTAAGCACATATTGGACTTTCCAAACTAATATCTTACATACACTAAGATCACTTTAACAGCTTCTTGGTTTCCTATCATGCAGACAAGCCATGATTTATATAACCAGTCCCTGATTTAGAGATATTCAAGTTACTTATAAAGCTCTGCTGCTGCAAAAAACACTGCTAAACAGTCTCACACTCCTGTAAGTGGTTCTGTGGTGTAAATTCCTAGAAACGATAAATCAAAGGATATCCACATTTGAAAAGTCTTCTCTAGTTCATTCCCACTGAGGAAAACTGTTGAATCAACCAGATGGTCTACAACACACTAAGGAAGTGATCTTTTGGTCCCACATATATTTTTAAAACCAGAATAAGAAGTGGTATCAAATGAGTTTTTTAAAGTATATTTTATTTTATTTTTTTAAGATTTTATTTATTTATCTGTAGAGGGGAAGGGAAGGAGAGAGGGAGAGAAACATCAATGTATGGTTGCCTTTCGTGCATCCCCTGCTGGGAACTGGCCTGCAGGGAACCGGCCTGCAACCCAGGCATGTGCCCTGACTGGAAATCGAACCGCGATTGTCTGGTTCGCAAGGCCAGAGCTCAATCCACTGAGCTATACCAGCCAGGGCTAAAGTATATTTTATTGATTATGCTATTACGGTTGTCCCATATTTTTCCTTCCCTTTATTCCCCTCCACCCTTCAAATTAGTTTTTAGCTTCAGTTATATCAGGGGTTGGTAAAGTACAGCCTGAGGACCAAATCATGCTGCATGTTTTTATATAGCCCAAAAACTAAAAAATGTTTTCACATGTTTAAATGATTAAAACACAAAAATAAAAGAAATATTTCACAAAAAGGAAAAATTATAGGAAATTCAAGTTTCAGTATCCATGAAGTTTTACTGAAATATAGCCATACTTGTCTATTTATCTATTGGCTGTTTATATGCTTCAACAGCAGGCTGGAGTAGTTATAACAGAACCCTTATGGCTGTTAAGCTGAAAATATTGATTATATGGCTCTTTACAAAAAGTTTGCCATCCTCCAATCTAAGCAGTAACATTTCAATGTTTTAAAGGGAATGAAAACCCAATTCTCTAAGCAAAGGGCAAAGAACAAATTTCATATAGCCACTGAAAAAATGTTCAAAGGGGTTATTGTCTCTTGGTTCTCTATATAAGTGAGGTGGTGAATGGTTGGCCTCAAATTTCCCTTATCAATACGGGTTGAGAAGCAACCATTGGAAGGACAAGTAGCCACAGCAGTTTTGGAAACAAGACTAAACTTCCCATGGACTTTTTAGGGGATGCCAATGTAGATGGCACTGTGTTTAAAAATTTGATTTTTGCATATTAACCTTATGTCCTACAATCTTGCTATAATTCTTAGTTCTGGGGGTTTGCTTGTTTATTCTTCAAGATATTCTACAGAGACAATCATGTCACTTGTTCCATGGACCTTTGACCCAAGTTCTTTTTCCCATTAATACAGTTTTTGTTTTGCCACCCAACAGTTATAATTACAGTTGCCAGGTATAAATAATGTTTCAGAGACAGAGAATATATTCTCCAAGCAAAAATGGAAAATGACATATGGCAAAGGTTAAATGAAGGGGAAATGTAAGCACAAGTAAACATAGTGGTATTACACTGGAGCTTGGCCCTCTGATAATAACTAACTAATGTAAAAGATACAGGAATATTTAAGCAATTTAATATTTCAATGATGTCTCCTTTTCCTCAACTGGAAAAGGACACCAGAAGCCAAATTTTGCACAGGAAAAATTTTTACAAAATTACTGGTTGACATTTGGGATGGTGGCTGATGATTATCACTGCCACCTTAAAAATGTGGTTGTATGCTCAACATGCCACCAGTGGAAGCTGTGTTCTCAGTAAGCTCTGTTGCAGGTTTTTTTTACTATCACAAGATCTATATTGTCCTCATCATTGTCACCACCAACACTTTTAATAATATAATCTAAGAATAAGCGAAGAGAAAGTTTAAGTTAGATACTGCATTAAATAGTTTATAAAAGGAGAACACCTTATACGATTATGAAGAATTTAAAAATACATATTTTAGCTGAAAAATTACATTAGTTTCATATCTCCGATCATTGCCAGATGGCTAAGAAATTACTTAGTTTGAAGCACAGATATATATGCATGTTTATATGTATGTATGTAGACACATATAGTATTATTTCTAGTACTTCCAATTTTATAGAGCGGTGATGTCAACCTTTTTCATGTCATGGCACTAAATTAATTATAGTACAATTCTGTGGCACACCAAAAAATATGTATTTTTGCCTGACAAAATATAGGTGTAATTTTGATTCATTTACACCAGATGGCTATTGTTGTGCTGGCTGTTGTCAGTTTTTTACTTGATAGTCTAAGGGAAAAGAGGTCAGTATCCCTGATTAAATAGTCAGGTATTGCACGTTTTAAAAATTCTTGGGGCCACTGGTTGAAAATTGCTTTATAGAGCAATCGATCTCTTCTCATTTAAGAAGCATGATGTCCAGGCCCATGTTATTACATGTTCAATAATATGTTTTTAACTTTTAAATGATACAGCTGATGTTACATAGCCAGACTTTGTAGTGACCATGAATTTCCAAAATGTTCTCTAAAAATTAATATTAATTTTATAATAAACAATGCAGAAATAAAGCACAAAAGTAAATGTTGTTATGAAACCAATTAAATTCAAGTTGAATTTGTTAAAGAAGTGGGCACAGCTAAACTAGATGTGAAATATCAACTGGGGAAACCAGTTTAACAAATATGAAAAATAGCAATTATGCAAAATATATGAAATACAAATGGACTTTATTTCTTAAAGTTGCCCTGGAAAAGAACATATTTAAGCTTGGAGTATTACATTGCATATAACCTGGATTCAATACATTTATTTGAGACAGGCCAAACATTACAATAAATTAATTAGCAGTGTAAGGGAGTACAGTGGTGTGAAAATAGTAATAAATAAAGTGGAAATCAGATGATGTAGGTTCCAATTCAAGCTCTAGAGCCATCCAGAAATATGACCTTCATGCCAGATACATCTACTCTTTTGCTTCTGTTTTCACATCCATAAAAATTGGAACTGGTTTTGGAAAGCTGCTGTGAACTCTACTTACTAGTCTTTATGGCAAAAAAAATGGAATATTAGAAACTACCAAACCAGCCAAACAAAAGAGAATTGGTTAAATAAATTATGGTATTTCCATATGATGGAGTAGTACATAGCCAATGAGAAGCACATTCTCAAAGAACATTTATTAATATTAAAAATGTTTATGAAATAATGTTAAAGGGGGGAAAGAGATTCAAAGTAGAAAAATATACTACAATCCTAACTTTGAGAATAGGAGGAAACATAGCAATGGTTATCTCTATGCCACAATCTCTGGGTGCAAAATTATTTTCATTAAACTACTCTGTATTTGTTAAGATTCTCTAAAATGAACTTTGCACTTTATAATCAGGACAAATTAACAAAGGTAACTGAATTTTATTTTTAAGATGAGCTTTTATCATATCAATATCAATAAATTTTTCAAACTAGAGCTAGTAAAGCTATGGGCAATTCCACTAAGGTTTCTCAGTATAATTGCAAAATTCCAATTAATTCTTTTTTTAAAGACGTTATAACTTTTATAAGTTTTGTAGAAGATTGTGCTCCCAAGGTGCAAGGAACTAAGCTGCCATGAACTTACCAGATAACACACAGTTCACAATGGTGAGGGCTGACACTGGCGTTTTACTACAGCCTACGCCAGTGTAGTGGCGGTAGGGCATAACCAGCAAAATGGCAGATTAATACAGGCAACACAGCTCCATTTCTTTTAAGCAAAACCATGTGTCAATACACTGAAAAAATCACCTTCTAAATCCAAAGCAGCCCTTTGGTTGTCCATATAAAACTTTAGATAGAATACAAGTCTGCCAAAACGTCAATAATGCGGTCCAAACTGTCCCATCCCCCAGCACTTGATGTAGGCAGACTCGAAAGTGACTCAAGTCCATGCTGGGCTTTATCAAACAGCCTGCAGAAAATGTGCATGTAAATTCACTACTTGTAAATCTTAAACCAGTTTACCACTTCACGTTATAAAACCCTAAACCAGTCCAAATTCAGGGAGAGCAGGATAGAGGAGGTATGGAACCAACCCCCACCAGACGATGTTAGAGCTTTTACTATCCACTGACCAACCCTTGCTCAGCTGCGCAGCACGCGCGATGGGTCCTGTGGCACTCAACGGAAAGCCTCCTTTGCTTTACAGGGGTCTCCATATTTTGCAGTATTCTCTGAATCCTGCACAAGGCCCTAAACATGGGGACTTCTCCACACCTCCATCTTCATTTTCTTTTTCCTCTTTTAAGTATTTACAATAAAACGGGGCTACACTATCTTTGAGCAAATGCAGTTACCCCCAAGAGCCTCAAAATCAATGCCTTGATTTCAACTTATAATGAATCAACTTGCGAGTTTATCATTTTTTCCAATATTTTATTATTCTTTTACAGAGAGGGGAATGGAGGGTAAAAGAGAGGGACAGAAAAATCTATGTGAGAGACATGGATTGGTTTACACTTGTATACACTCCCATAGGGGACCGAAATGGCAAACCCACGCATGTGTTCTGAGTGGGAATCGAACTCGCGACCTTTCGCTTTGTGGACCGCACTCCGACAATCCAAGACATGCCAGGCAGAATTACTTTATCAAGTCTTTAAACTCAACATATTATCTATATAGTCAGACAGTCTTTGTTTTTCCTGAGCTCCCACCTCCTCCAACAGAGAAAGAGAAAAGACAAAGGATCGATTCAGTCCAAGAAACTCAGCACAAAGTATTCGATGAACCGCAAAAAGTACTCGGGCAGGCCTCCCAGGAGAGGCGGTTGGAACCACCCCAAACCACACCACTGCAGTGCTGCTGAAATTCGAGGCTGCAAAGTGCAGACTGCCCAATCGGCTGCTCTCAGCAGCAGCTCATGGCTTGTGCACGAGACACCGTGAGAAAAGGTTCAAAGGAAACATGCCGCGGTATGATCCAGTTCTCACACGGCCCGCTGGAAGACATGGCAAGTGGAACCCAGTGGCTCGGCCTCCAGAGAGAAAATGGCCGCCACTGTTTTATGGCCACTGGGGATGCCGGGAAAAAAGTCCCACCTTTCCGTGTGCTGGCTCCAGGAGCCTGTGTCTCCTCAAATCCCTGGGACACTAGGAGCCCCAGAGTCACCTTGAGCCCCTAGAATACCATAAATTCCAAAAATGCCACGACACCGAGATCACCTCAAGCTCCTGGCACACCATGAACCCCGGGACTTCCCGAACCCTACACGCGCCACGAGCCCCTGGGACGCCATTAGCCCCAGGATCACCTCGAGCCCCTGAGACACCACGAACCCCATAAATGCCAAAAGCGCCGGATTACCTCAAGGTCCTAGGACACCTTGAACCTTGTAAATGTCGCGAGCCCAACCTGAGGGACGACACGAGCCCCATGACTCTCTCGAGCCCCTCAGACGCCATGAACTACAAAGACGTCACACGTGTCTGGACGCCATGAACCCAGGACACCAGGAGTTCCTGGGACACATTAAATCCCTAGGATGCCCTAAACCCAAGGCCGTACCCTGCCCATCACACCTAAGTTCCAACATGCGCGCTAACCACTGAGAGCAGCCATAGGCTTTTGCCGATGACCGGCCAGTGCCACCTTAGCCTGCGCAGCCCTCTAGGTGGACTAGGTGTGAATCCTTTCCTCGGACCCAGGAAGAAAGAAGTAAAAACGAGTATCGCAGCTTGGGGGAGGTCGCCTTACCCTGCTCACCAGACATTGTGACGCAGGAGTCCACTCAGAGCACCTCCGGCTTGGCTTCTGCGCTACAACGGAGAGCTACCGCACACTGGAAAAGACCGGTAGACTAAGGCGCCAAACCGTAAAAGTGCAACACTTGTATCATAACAGACCGTTTATACAGCTGCGCAGTAGCGCCCAGTCTGCAAATACCCGGATGGAGAGAGCGGGCAGGGACGACCCCAAGTATGGCGCATCCCATACATTACTTTATATCTATATTCATATATTTTTAAACTTACTTTTAAAAAGTGTGAACCAGTAGTCGCCAGTGTAATTCCATCCTTCCCCAAATGCTCTTCCTACATAACACATCATATTGGATTAGCCAAAACATTTGTTCAGTTTTGAAGCAAAAATAAAAAACACATTTTTCACTTTCACCAATACCTTCATATAACAACATATTCACCATTTTGTTCCACTATTTCTACCATCTTTCAGGCAAACTTCATAATTCCATCTTCCCAAAACTTATATTTTTGAGCAAAGAACTATCCCAGGTACCTTTTGCAGTCTTCCAGGGAATTGAAATTTTTTCCATTAAGAAAATTTTGTAAAGGTGGAAATAAATGGAAATCCAAAGGTGCAATGTCTGAATATGGTGGATGAGTCAGAACTTTCCAGCCAAGTTATAACAGTTTTTGCCTGTTCATCAAAAATCATAAGGTTCTGTATTATCCTGATGGAATATTATGCATTTTATGTTAACTAATTCTGGACACTTTTTGTCCAGTGGCGCTTTCAGTTGGTTTGATTAGAAGCAGCACTTGTTAGAATTAATCATTTAGTTTTCTAGAAGGAACTCATAATAGAGGACTCCCTTCACCATACACACAACATCACCTTTGGATGAAGACCAACCTTTAGTGTGGTTGGTGGTTGTTCATTTCACTTGCCCCACCATCTCTTCCATTCCACATTATTGTAAAGTATACACTTCTCATTGCCCATCACAATTTGTTTTATTTTTTAAATATTTTATTTATATAGTTTGTGAGAGAGGGAAAGGGACAGAGAATGAGAGGGAGAAAAGCATCAATGTGTGGTTGCCTCTCACACACCCCCCACCAAGAACCTGATCCGCAAATCACGCATGTGCCCTGACTGGGAATCGAACGAGTAACCTTTTGGTTCACAGTCCAGCGCTCAATCCACTGAGCCACACTAGCCAGGGCACAATTTTGTTTTAAAAATAGAAAGTTGTCATTACATTTTAGTAGAGAATCACATGCAGAAATATAGTCAAGACCTTTTACAGTTAACTTACGTAGAACCCAAACATCAAATGATTAACATACCTAAGCTGGTGCAAATGAGTTTTAATTCTTGACTTGGATATTTTGAGTTTGTCAGCTATTTCCTGCATGGTATACCTTTGATTATTCTCAGTTAAAGTCTCAATTTGATCGCTATCAACTTCAACTTGTCTACCCAACCATGTAGCATCATCCAGCAAGAAATCTCCAGCAGGAAACTCTGCAGACCACTTTTAACATGTTAGATCAGTCACAGCACCTTCTCCACACACTGAACTAATGTTCTTTGCATTTCGGTTGTGTTTTTACCTTTCTTGAAATACTGAAGCATAATATGCCAAAAGGGTTACTATTTTCTTCCATCTTCAATATTAAAATGGCTTCACAAAAATTAACCAATTTTTATAAGTTTTTTTAAATGTACATTGATATGACAGCTGTCACAATACAATCTAACAAAATTGATTCAAATGAAGGTAAAGACAACTAAGAGCTACTGGGGCCATCTTATGGGAAAAAATCAAACAAACATTTTGGCCAACCCCATAGAAAAAGTGTATAATGTGATTGATTTGAGTTCAGACTTTCTAATGTTTTCCAGCTTGTATATTCATGTTCAATGCCAGCTTTGGGGGAAAATCTGAAAATAATCCAGTCTGTAAAATGTGCCCCTAGTAAGGCCCACTAAACCCATGCTACCCTGCCCTTCAGCTGAAATGCTCTCTATTTGTCATTTTCCAAACAGCCATGTGCTTCATTTCTCCATAAAATAATAATAGCTACAATTTACCGAGCATTTACCACGAGGCAGCTACTTAACATGTCTGACCTTATGTGGTCCTTAATGCTGTAAAAAGTTGGTATTTTTGTCCCATTTTAAAGATGAGAACACTGAGGCTTAGAGGGTTTAACTTGCTCAAAGTCACAAAAAATAGTGACAGAGGTATGATTTGAACACATATATCTATTATGTTATTCTACCTTCCCTACCTTAGTCTATCTCCCATTCAATTGCCTCTGGAAATTTTCATATCTTTCCAGTGGGCCATCTGTTCCAGTGGGCCATCTTTCCTAGAGTTCCCCGGTCAGATTAAGTAGGTTTTTCTCTAGGATTCTGTGGCAGGTTACCATCATCCCCTTTAGCACTCAAATCACTTTGCCTGATATTAGTAATCTTTGTTAATATGCTTCTCTCCTCCTAAGTTCCTGGGTAGCAGCACCATATCTTATTTATATTTAAAATAGTATTTGCCTCACAAGGTTCTAAGAAGTAAATGTTATAAAATATAAAGCACCTGGCACAGTGCCTGGAAGCGGGGTTTCTTTCATTGTTTCAGTTGTACAATGACTCTTGGCACTGTGGGTGTCCTCATTTGGGGGAAAGCATGAGAGTCTCTTTACCAGTAGAAAGTAAAAGTATATTTTGTTAGGTAGAAATGCAGAGCTGATTTGCTGCTGTGTGGGAGTGTAAATGTGTGTAGGAGGGTGCATGGGGGGGGGAGCTGAGCAGTAGAACAATGCACTGTGCTGGTAATCCATGTTTTGCTTCTCAACTTCAAATTCACCCCTTTGCCTGCTCTGTGAAAATGGATTTATTTTTCCATTTGCTGGTAGCACAATTTTTACACTTTGCCAGTACCACAGTTAAAGTTTTTTTTTTTCTCTGTAGGAAG